ACCGCAGCCCGGCGAATGGTGTGGTCGGCAGAACGCCCCGGGACCCGCTCCGGACAGCCCCGTCCGGGGGCACTCACCTTGCACTGGCCGGACACGCAGATGGCCGTGCCGTTCTGGTCACACGGGGTCCCGTCGATGACCTTCTCCGCTTGGCGCACGTAGAAGCGGTAGCCCGTCGCCTGGCAGTTCAGCTCGCACTTCCGGCTGCCCTTGACTAAGCAGAACACAGCGGTCAGCGGCGCCCCTCCTCTCCCTTGCTCCCCTGCAGCCTCCACGGAGACGGAATCCCCGCAACACAGAGCTCACCACTGCAACCAGAGTGTGCAGGTCAGCGGCTTCTGGCATGTTCACAGTGCTGTGCAACCCTCCCCATGAACTAACTCCAGAACATTTCCATCCACCCCGTAGAGGAAGTGTTGGGCCCATTAGCTGCCACTTCCCTTCCTCTCCCGCCAGACTCTGGCAGCCACCAACCCATTTTCTGGCTGTATGGGTTTGCCGACTCCAGACGTTTCATAGTCACACACCTTTTAAATTTGCATGAGAATTATTGGCTCTTTCTGTATCTGATGGTAGAGAGACGGGACTGTATCCTGACTTACTGGCACGTGGTAGAGACTCGATGCTGAGAGAATATGGTGAAGGAAATCTTAAAGACCCTCACAATGCAAATAATAGACTCTGCTTCTGGACCTCCTCCCACACTTCAGCACAGTCACAACTACATCATGTAAGTCAGCAATCACAGTGAGCTCACAGTCTTATGTTCCACTTTTTTATTACTTAAAATCTATGCAGTTATATCATTTTATGCTCTTGCACATGGCCGGAGTTTCCTGTAATAATTCCTTCATTATTAGATATTTCAGTGGTTTCCCTGTCCCCTGAGGTTGAAGTCCGAAGTCCTTAGCACGGGAGAAAACATCTTCCAAGAGCTGAACCTCACCTGCCTTTATGGTCTCATTTCCTACCGTCCCTCCTTAAATCCGTGTTCTGTCCCCGGCCCCGCACTCCCTCTGCCCAGCCGCTGCTTGGCTGTTCCTCTGGCTTTGCCTCGCTTGGCGAGCACCTGTGTCTGCTTTGCTGTTGTTCCCGGGTCACCCCCTCCAGGGAGCCCTCCGTGGATCCTGATCTCCCCCATATGTCCACCCATCACAGGCCGATTCCACCTCCTCTACCATAAGATTAACCAAACTCACTCTGAAGCATGGCTTTGAGGGACCACAGGGCTGCATCTGGCTCATTCACTTCTGTGTCCCCAGCACTTGGTAGAGAGCAGGGCACAGAGCAAATGCTCAGGAAACCCCTGAGGGGTCAGTGAACGAAAACTGGCCTTCGGGGTTGTCTGGTTTGGTTTTCATTTTTGCCTTTCTCTCCTTTCCCCCCACTAGACAGATCCTCCCACCTCAGAGTCTTTCTTTACATTTCTGTTATTTCACACAGAGCCTGGCACACAGTCAGCACCCAGTAAATGCTAAGTTAACTACCGCTACAACTAGTATCTTCAGAGCAATCTAGCTGCGTCTGAAGTAAGAATGAGAAAAATTTTCAGACAAGATAGAGTTCCACATCCAAGGGAGAAAGACAAGCCAAGCACACATTGGTTTTAACTGTTACTGGAGACGAGACTGATGCTCTGCTCAGCCACAGACAGCGTGTTCCAGGGTCAGGCCTTTGTCTGAAAATCTGATTACTGCATTGGATGATACTGGCTTTTTCCTACACAACACAATACATCATATTTTCCCCAGCGTGGCTGCCTGACTGTCATAGCAATGAACTTCCTTCTGCTCCAAAGCTTGCAAACCGCTAACAGGAACTCACAGGCAACCTCTGGGGCCACACGGTTTAGGGAAGATTGAATCTTCTCTGTCCTCCGAGCTCTGCCAGGGAAGTCGAGAGATTTGGTTTTCTACCCTCGCTGCCCGAAAGATGTAAGATACACACACACACACACACACACACAGCAGGCCCAAGGCAGTAAGGACAGGCTGGGGGTAAAGCTAGTCCACGACAACTTGCTTTCTCATGTCATCCGTCTATCCGGACCCCACTTCCTGCCTCCCAGCTCCTCGCTTTCTGAAGTGACAACAAGCTATCCAGGTGCAGGTGTGTCGCATTTTATGTAATAAAAGTGTCTGGAAGGCAGCCTCGCGGGGGCCAGGGCTCTGAGTTCTCACTTCTTTGGGCTTCTCCCCAACGACCTCTATCCTTTAAGGTGCCCTCACTGGCGGCCACGAGCTTAGCTCTCAGTAGCTGCCACCAGACATCCTGAGAACAACAGCGACAACAGAAACTCAGGGCGAGCGTGCGACAACCGCGGCAGGACCTTCCGCCGGCTGCACGGAGGACCCAGAGGAGCGGCCTGGCGTCTGGGCTCCTCCTCCCGGTGGGCCAGACCGGCCGCTGGCCTGACCCTCTGTCCGCGCGGCTGAGACAGCGTCCCTGCCTTCTCAGACCTGCAGCAGGGAAGACGGGGACCCTAGGAGAAACCGGCGCCTGGGGACAAGTGGCCACCTCACAGAACTGCCTGAGCAACGCTCAGCCTGGAGCTTCTCACAGCATTACCTGCAGCCCGGCTTCTCTAGGCCCCGGCGACACCCCTCCGGCACTGAAGAACTCCGCCTAAGTCCGCTTTCAGGGCTTCAGGTTAAGGTTTTCATGGATAGTCACCTCATTCCTTTCCCTTTTCCTTGAATAGAATTACAATTCTGACGCCAGGAGCCCCTTCTCTGAGCAGAGTTTGTCACGGCTCTCTCTTTGCAGGGGAAGAGGGCAGGCCGCGGGAGCCGGATGAGGGCGCGCGGGCACGTCCCTCTCCTCCGCGCGCCTCCCTCCTGCGCTCTGCTGCTCCCTGATGCCCGCCCCACCCCCACAGCCACCCCGCTCCGCTCCGCGCGGTCCCAGGGCCACGAGCGTCAGCATCGTGCGCCGCAACAGCCCCACCTCCAGGTTTATCCCCGTGAGAAATGAAGACGTGCGTCTTCACAGGAACTTGTACACAAAAATTCATAGCAGCACTCTTCACAACTTCTAAAAAGTGTAAATAATCCAGATGTCCTTCAGCTGATGGAGGGAGAAATGAATGTGGTCTCTCCATACATGAAATATTACTTGACAACAGGAGGGAATGAAACACTGATACAAGCTACATACAGCATGGGTGGACCCTGAAAACACTACGCCCAGTGAAAGAAGCCAGCCACAGAAGGTCACGTGCTGTACAGCGACATCCGCGGGAAGGACCCAGGACGGGCAGTCTGCCTAGGCACAGAGGGAGAAGGCAGATCAGCGTGGCCAGGGCCCGGAGCGAGGAGACCACGAGGAGCGACTGCTGATGGGCATGGACGTCCTTCTCAGGGTGATGAAAATGCTCCGAAGTTAAATGGTGGTGGTGGCTGCACGACTCTCTAAATAACCTAAAACCCACTGAATTGTACTTTTTAAATTGGTGGCTTTTATGGTATGTGAGCTTTATCTCAATAAAGCTGTTGTTTAAAAAGAAAAAAGAAGTAGCAGAAGTTAGCTTCCCAGATCCCCAGGAAATCATCAAATAAACTCAAGAAAACTTTTCTCCAGATTGCAGGAGCCCACCAAGCGCCCAGACCAGGCTGTCAGGGTGGGGTTGGAGTTCGCCCCACTTACAATCAGTAAGTTACCCTGCTACTGTCTCACGGACACAGACGGAGGATACCAGACTCCCGAGTCAGCGAGAAAGGACCCTCCCACTCACGGAAGAGTCAGCATGTGTGTGCCGGCCCCCCTGCCCCAGTCCCGCGGGGACAAGCCGCGGAAGCCTGGACGATACGCACGCACGCCTGAGCACGCGGAACCCCTGCTCGCACGGGGAGTGGTAAGAAACCTTGTTCTTCGTCCCGGATAGAGATGCATCCCGTCCTTCAAGGTTGCTCACTGCAAACACAGCCTTGAGAAGTGACCTGGCTGTACGCTGGTCAAGGCCCTGCACCCTTGGCCTACAGGCCAGACCTGTAGGAGCAGCGCCTGCCAGCGAACGGACAGCAGTGAACCACGCCAAGGAACAGGACTATGAAATGAGGACACAAAGAAAAGACAACAGGCTACCAGCGAGGAAGCAAACCAGGACATAAGACGGTGCTGGATTTCCCAGCGACAACTTCGAAAGCTAGGAGGTAACTGAGCAAAGCCTCATAATTTTCGAGGGGAAGGAATTTCTGGAGTTCTGCACCCGTGACTAGAATTCTGTATCTGGTCAAACTGTCAGTCCCCGGGAGGCGGTAAAGGCGTCTTCAGAAATTCAGTTCTTACACAGTTTACCTCTCACGTGCCCTTCCCTACTGGAGGATGTTCTACCTCAGTGAGGGCATAAACCAAGGGGGTAGGAGGCGTGGGACCCAGGAAACAGAAGCTCTAACCCCAAAAAGATGCAAAGAGGATGCCCAGGACAGATGCGCAGCAGGGAAAGACCGGAGCAGGTCGGAGGTCCCAGAAGAGACTGCTCCAAGAAAATGAAATGAAAAAATACCCAACAAATGTTAGGATATTGAGATTTCAAGATACTGAGATATGACGTTATTCAAAGAAGAGTTACACCAGTTAGAGGGGCTTGGGCTGAACTAGTGTGAAGTACATGGAAAGGCAGACAAGCTAAAAACAAAAAGGTATTTATCAACAACATAGAAAGAAAAGGATTTCAGGAAAAGAAGAGCAATCACAGTGCAGGCACCGGGGGCTACAGGGTGGCACTCAGATTAACCGTCACCATCCCAGCCCCAGTCCGGATTCTCCCAGCAGCTGGCAGCTCACAGCCGTGTCCTTCTGGGACTTGCCCCAGCCTCAGGGAGCCGCCTTCCCAGCCTCCTTCCCGGGGCTGGCCCCTGTCCGATGGCAGGTCCCTGTGGTTGTACAAAGCCCCGTCCCGTCTCAGTTTGGGGCACCTCTGCAGGGCGACCCCAGCGCAGAGCGGCTCGGTCCGGCACCTCCCACCCCCTCAGGTGGGGTTCCAGATTCGCTCCCCGAGAAACACCGGGCACAAATCTCTGCCTCAGAAGCAGCAACTTGGAGGTTGCCCTAAGCCAGGACGCTGCCCGGCTCGGCGGCAGGCCCCTGCCACCTCTGTTCAAAGTGGACACAGAACTCCTCGCTGTCTTTCAGGAACTCGGCATACGTGGGAGAGCAAACTGTTGTTTTCCAAGAAAGCAACGTGCCACCGAAGATTCTAGACTGCAGCCAGCT